ATTTGGTTAACCTCCCCACCCAATCTTGCACTTTTCTTACAGAAGCCAAAGACACCCTTTCCCCTCTGAGGTGTAAGTTTATATTTTGAACAACCCCTATAGGCCTAGATCTAATACATTGAGGCATGTCGCGTACATGAGAGGCGGAGTAGGGTCGCTTTTCGAGGATCGCCGTAAAAATAGCCTGGGACTCACCGGGTGGCTATCTTTACGGCACGCCGTAAAAATAGCCTGGGAGGCTATCTTTACGGCTTGCCGTAAAAATAGCCACTGCGTATATTTAAACATTCAGAATTCCTTTCCTTGGTTTTATTAAACAGATAAAAGGTTTAGTAGACTAATATTATAATCATGCCTGAAAGTCTGCTTTCTCCCCTGTCACTGTAAAATAATACAGTTCTCAATTTACTTTTTTTTTTCATAATTGAAAACCAGGATTGTGTCGATTTCAGTTGATTTAAAAAAATTTAAATCAACTTGATTTTAAAAATAAAACTCAGTGTTTAAATCACTTTGAAAAAATGTATTCTGTTTTTACATCTTTAAACATTCAGAATTCCTTTCCTTGGTTTTATAAAACAGATATAAGGTTTAGTAGACTAAAATACTCATGTTTAAAAGTCTGCTTTCCCCCCCTATCACTGTAAGTAGTAAAATAATACTGTACATATTTTACTTTTTTTTCATAATTGAAATTAGCATTTTCTTCTTTTTAGACAAACACAAGCGCGCGCACACACACACACTGTAATAAATGCAAGTCTATCTATGCATAATTACCCCCTCCCCCCCTTCCTTTTAGACTGACATTTTCTTCATTTTTTGTCTGTAGCCATTTATAATTCACTGATATAGCAGATTAAGGCTTTCTAAAATTGCAATTGCTTAAATTAATCATTAGTTAAAATAAAAACAATGTATTTTGCACTAAAAGAACTTACTTTTAGCCACCAAAAATCCCATACTGTGTCGACATTTAAAAAAAAAAAAAAAATCGGATTTAAATTTTAAAAAATCTGATTTCATTGTAAAAAATCGATTAAAAAATTTTTTATTTTAAAAATAAAAAAAATCACCAACCCTGCGTTCAATTACTACTGTTAGCCTAAAAGCGTGCAATTTTGTCTGTGGGCAGTGGAGAGAGAGAGAGAGAGAGAGAGAAAGGAATAGGCCTAGCGCGAGAACTCCTGGGTAAAACAAAATGGCGACCTGCGTAGTTCGGCTTGATTCGAAAAGTTAAAAATAGCATATTAGCATCTTTGTAGACGACCAAATTAATTTACTTTTGTGTTTTAACATTATTTTTTACTTTTGTTTTGGTCAATTTGATCGTCCACTCCGATAGACAGTATTCAGAAAGAGAGAGAGAGAGGGGAGGAGTAGATCTTGCGAGAACTTCCGGGCAAAACAAAATGGCGACCCGCGTAGTTCAGCACGATTCGAAAAGTGAAATAGCCATAGCATCTTTGTAGACGATCAAATTATCTTACTTTTGTGCTATAACGTCATTTTTTCTTGGCTTTTATCAATTTGATCGTCCAGTCCGACAGACAGTATTCCGAAATGAGGAAAAACAGGTCTTGTTTCACTCCGGGTGAGAATAGCCAACGCTGGCAAGTCTCATCTGCGGTGAGAGACCCGCGGTGAGAGGTCGATCGTATTTTTATTCTCACCCCGAGTGAGGATAGCCACTTCCTTGTGTGTATATATATTATATATATATATATATATATATATATATATATATATATATGTGAAGCTTAATCTACCTTTCTCTGTCGGAAGTTCTGATGACCGAATAGATAGCGCGTCTGCGTTTGAAGTCATGCAATGATTTTAGGAGCGGTTTTTTTCCCTCTTCTCCTCCTCCCAACTGATCAACAGTCCCATAAATTATAATTTGTTGCTTTGAAGTTGTTTTAAAAAAAATGTCTTTTAGTGATGAAGAATGCAGGAGGGGGGGGGGAGATCTAGATCTAAGATTTTAATCCTCCAGCGTCTTTACAGCAATTTACGTGCAGTTTATTGTCCTTGCGTTTACCGTGTTTCAATTTCAAGCATCAGCGTTCTTTATCTTACTGTTCTGAGCATCAACAATCTAGATCTAAGCGATCTTCCTTCATGTCCAAGTACTAGATCTAGGAAATCGGAAATGTTACCGAAAACACGTCGTTCCATGCAGTACCTCCTCGGCCTTCTTAAAAATAATAGTCTGTGGGTATCCCAGGAAGTGATGACATCGCATTACTAAAATTAGCAGTCAATCAGAAAGATGCCGTCTTCTACGTTAAACGGCATATGTATCTTGTAGTTCTGTTCGTTAAAGTCCACGATCCATTTGTTTACATCTAGAGAAGAAATCCGGAAGTCTTGATGAACAAATAGGCAACACGATGAACAGGGATGCAACCTAACTGCGAAACATCAAATTATGGTAAATTCAGGGGGCCCTCCTCCATGTTTTTATTAGGTCCCCTGATACCCCCTACTCTTGACTCGTGGGGCCCAAACTGACGAATAATAATTGGGGGATGGGAACTGCCGAAAAAACGCAATTCTTTGCTTGAATTTTGATTTTCTGGCTTTAGTGTTTCTTTCTAGTTTTTGTTGTGTGTAATCCACAGATGATAACTGCTTATGTCACTTATGAGAGAAAGACAAACTGCACTGAGGAAGAATGGCAGGTCCAAGCTCTGAGCAGACAGGCTCTGAATCAAAGCCAAAGAATGCTGTAATGGAAGCCGATGATCATTTAACTGCTGAGCGCAGTGCCGGTCTGGCGTTGATGAAGCCTCTCTGCATTGGTTTGATGCAGGAAAGGACGACTGGCAGCGTGCAAGCAATCTTAAATGCTTTGCCCAGATTGGATGATGATGTGGCTAGAGAAATCCAAGTATACATTTTGTTCCCAGTGAAGACTGCTTTGTCAATGAAAGACCTGTAAGTTCTTCATATTTATATTATATATATATAATTGTGTCGTGGGGGTATAAAAACACACCTACATTTCAAAAAATGATCTATATATATATATATAGATCATTTTTTGAAATATGGGTGTGTTTTTATACCCCCACGACACAATTTAGATCTCTTACGAGGTAGGCTTTGACCCTGCGTGTTTGGGCCAATCCATTCTGAATGGGACGCAACGTATGCAAAAGACCTAGGTTCTCAATGAAAATTCACATGGGAATCAAACTTTAGTTTATTGTGACAATGAAGCGTGTAACCACTACATCACAGACACTGGTTTTTCTTTATATCAAGTGCAGCTGTTGTTTGAAAACATTGGATTTCTGCTCATTTACAAATTCCATGTCAAAATATCAGCTGTACTTCAGTAGTGAAAAGTATGGGAGCTTCAATGCTTATTATTTTAACTCATTTACTCACAGCCATTTGTGACTTGCTTAGTCTATGGCAACCAGCATTTTCACTTTACTAAAAGTCGTATCTACACACTAATATCTTATTGAAGTTAAGTTAGAAGCATCAAAATGTCATCATGATGAAGTTCATTGATTGAGCTTTATTGTGCAAAAAACGATTACCAAATTTTATAATGTATTTGGTTTGTTTTTTTCTTACATTTTCAAAATACATTCCAGGACGAAAACCACGAAATGGTCAGGATGTGGAATTCTTTGCGTTATATGTACAAATTTAGCTGGGTACGAATTTCAATAAATATCAAGGGAAATAGATTAAGTTGGACTTTTAATTGCCACGCCAACATGATGCATGTTGGGTTCATTGGCCTACTTTTCCCTATCTTTTAAACATTTGGGAGATTTAGATTTTGGCATTGCTTTTTTTCTCCACTTCTGGCAGAGAAAATGAAGCACAAAGGTCAAGGAAAAACTGCTTAGCCTAGCAGATGAGTGGCCATGGGAAGTCTCTCTGTTAATTAGGTTCTACTACAACAAAAGAAAGTAGAAAGCCTTTCTTCTTTCCCTTCTGCAAAAAGTACGTAAGCCAATGATGCATTGGCACTTCCTGTTCATAAGTAGAAACAGTAAAGTGATTGATACTTATGCAACTGCAGGATTGGACAGCATTGCTATCAGGCCTAAATTATTTACATTGATTTTCATCTCTAAGAAGAATCTTGTTGGATTTACTTTGTTTCATTTCAGATGCTTTACTCTGTTCATATTGTGACTGGTTTGGGGTTTAGGTAGAATTGGACAAAAAATACATGCAAAGGTGTCTCTTGTCTTTTTTTATTTTTACAATTTATTATACATTATATCAGTCCTTTTATTCTAATAACCTAATATGATTTTATACTCAGTAACTAAGAAGTGGATTGGTGGAGTGAAGTTGTTAGAAAAGTTATGTCAAAGAAAATGCCCACAAATAAATGTAATTTACTAATTTTTTCATTTGCTTGTCTATCCCCAGGTCAGACAACATGTTTCTTGCACTGTGCCAGGTGATAGAAGCATTGTACAGAAAAACCAAAATGGCCGAGGCTCACGAAGTCTACGACATAATTGGCCTTATTCTTCTGCGTGTAGCGCCACCGAAGCTCTCTAGCCAAAGTTAGTTAAACACAGCAGATTTCTTTTCTTGCACCTCCTCGCTGACATGTTTTTTATCTATTCTTTTTTTCTGTATTATTTAGAAGTTTTGTTACAAGCCTGGGAATAAAATAACTAAAAAATACAATAAGTTTTATTGACCCATGAGGGAAATTTTGGGCGGGCTACACCTGAATATCAAGATACGAAGAGTTAGCACCTACACAGAAATGCATTCATTACGTTTATGTTCAGTGATGCACATAAAACAATGCAAAATTCTCTCACACAAACGTACCCGAACAGTGTGTCCGTGGGCATTAATAGTCTTTTCCTCTCTCTCCTCTTCTCTCTCTCTTTCTCTCTGTCTCTCTGTCTCTCTGTCTCTGTCTCTCTGTCTCTCTCTCTCTCTCTCTCTCTCTCTCTCTCTCTCTCTCTCTCTCTCTCTTTCTCTCTCTCTCTCTCTCTCTCTCTCTCTCTTTTTCTATTTCACACACCTACACCAGCACACACATATTATTATACTGCCAGTCTTCTCTGTCGCTTCTATACTCATCAGGCACACACATAGAGCATAATCACACACAAAAAGATCATTCTATTATATTCTATATCCTATTTCTCTCTGATAGTGTTCTCCTTAATCTGAAAGAAGATAGGACAAAGGACTTCTTATAACTCTGATTTTGAAGCAGGCTGAAAGATTTTATTGCTTTTAGCAGATCTTAATAATAACTGCATTTATAGAGCGCATATCCATGCTCTACAGCATGCTTTATGAGCTTTGCAACTAATCTTGCATATGCTTCAGGTAGAAGTGTTCATTTCCTTTTTTTTATCATTGACTTATATAAAAAGAATCCAAGCTTAGGTATAGATAGGGTCACATCTTGAAATTTACTATTTACTAATTTTTCAGCTTTCTTATGATATGACTTATTTTCTTTTTCTCCCCTGTCGTTACTGCAGCACCCCAACAACCGTGGACAAAAGAAGTTATACTTTTTAAAATGTCACCATTGCTGTTTCCTTTTCAGTTCCAAAGATGTCAGAGGACTCGAAAAAAGCTATGTGCGATGCAGTCAACTCTGTTTTGTCTGCTATGCCAAAAAAGTGAGTGTCATGTACGCTGCTTCATTTTTTCATAAATATATATGTGTCATGAGGTGGTGGAATCAGGTTCTCGTCAATTTTTGGGCATGTGGATTTATTGGTATCATCTTTCATCTTAGAAGTTATTCATTTGCCTTGCTTTCAATGAAAAAAATATCCATTTATCTTAAATAGCAGACGAGATATTTGCGACGAAGGAGGTGGGGTGGCCAGGTTTCAGAAGTAAAATTAGTGAGAAAATGGCCGTCAAAATTTGGTGACTTCCACAGCTTAAGAGTCCTTGGAAACTGCAAATGTATATTTTGTGTGCCTTTAATCAATGTTTTTCCATAAAATCCGCACTTAAAAGTGTTTTTGAATGGACATGCAAGGAGTTGAGCCAAGAAGTAAAGTTTTGAAAAAAAATTCCAAACAGGCCAAAAAAATGCTGATTTTCTCACATTTCATTATTTTGACGAGCACCTGATTTCACCTCGATGCCTCACGTATATTGTATAGACTCTTGAGCTCATGTAATCAGATTGTTTTGCAGCAACACAATAAAATGAGTCACGTCACATTTTGACAGTATAACACTGTGGGGGATCAAATTAAGATCTGTTCACGCCTTGCAAATGGGTAATAGCAGAATCAGTCTTGCTGCTTTTGTTCCAAAGTTATTGTCATTTGAAGTTGGGGATTAAGAAACTAGGTTGTTTTTTTTAATTGGGATTTTGCTTGTTTTCTTGAAACAGCGAAGTGCAACAAGTGACTCATTTTGTCAGGTTGCTGACATATTTTAAAATTATGATTTATAGTATTTGCCTAGAATTTCATCAGTTTACCAATGTGATGTAAGTTATTATTGTTGAGCATCTTATCAATGCATTTTGTGACTGTTCAGTGTAGGACTTTGTGATATGTTACTTTCAAGATGGCGTCTTACACTAAGCATTTGATTTGCATTGGAGTTCATAATTTAGAAAATCGTTTTATGAACTGATCAGTATGTTAAAATTGATTGTTATTGAATACAGACCTGCCACTCATCCCGATTTAATCGGGATATCCCGATTTTTTGCCCCAAATCTCAAGCATCCTGATTTTCCCGATTTCGATCTCAAGCATCCCGATTTTTTGTCGTTGCGTCTGTTGCGTCCGATTCTTAGAAAAAAATATAAAAAGTTCTGCAATCTCTTTTGCTTGGAAGCACCAATTGGATTTTTTATCGGCAGGAACTTGGAACGCTACTTTCTAAAGCATTTATACCGAATCTAGGTCTAGTAATTGATTCACGCACGTTGTTTCAACTAAAATCGACGATTTTGAATTCCGACATGTCACATGGATACGCTCAAGATCTACTTTCGCTTTTATAACGCAGGATTCTCCGATGGTGTCCTGATTACTGTAACTATTATGACATGGGCTTTTAAGAGTAATCTATTCGTTGTTCTGCCGTTGCTTTATAAGCAAGCTTCGTCTGAGTTCTGGTTAGTCGGGCCCATCATCAGGACCTGTCAGTGGAACTTTCAAACACTCATTCGCGGCATCGCGTGACATGACCTCGCATGTGTGAGTAGCGCGTGTGTCGGGGACCGTCGGCTGTCGGGGTCAACAAAGTTCGTTCACACCGGTCGCATTGGTCGAGGTGTTTTTCAGGACTTAAACAGTGTGGACGACCGGGGGGAGGGGGTGGGGGTATTTTTTTGACACTTGGGCTGTGCGTGCCGTGATACATGTACTAATTGAGGATAAAGGAATAAGAAAAACGAAAATAAATGAACAACCTTGGCGCGATCTTTTTTTCGGGGGGGGGCTTGAGAGGATATGCGCTGTAAGACAGACGTTGTTACTGTACGAAATCGCGGGCTTTTTGCATGGATGATTAGAGTTATGTGTCAGCTATTTTCAAAACTACGAGAGTTTCAGCTTTACTGCATCCTGCGCTCCCCCAGTCTATCCAACTCCGACTCGAGTACATATGCTGTCTTTCAGTTTTCTCTCTATTTAGAGGCCCAAACGTGAACTCATTCCTGCAAAAATTTTCTCTTGCATACCTGCCTCATAAAAGGGAACCAAGACCTTCCCCAGTACCCCTTATGGCTGATTTGCCGTTGATCCCGATTTTTGTCACCAGATCCTGATTTTTTTACTCTAAAATCCTGATTTTTAGATTTCATAGAGTGGCAGGTCTGTGAATAGTTTTCTTTCCTTACGTTTACAAAAACCTGACATGAGCACATGCGTGGTTGGAGGCTGCTGCTGAAACACCTTAGTGCCTTAAATCATTCCTGTCTTTCCGTTTTTGGGTTTTTTTGGGGGGTTTTTTGGGTGTAGTTTTACCCTGTCCCAGATTGACTTTAACATCTTTGATTTGATTCAAGTCTTTTGTTTATAGTTGATTTTCCTCTGATGACCTTCTGTCTAAAAGGGCCGAAACACGTTCAGTTAAAACTGTCAGTTGTCTGTCCTTTTTGTAAAAAGAAAATACTATATGATGCAATCTTTATATATAATACTTCTTTTTTGTGATCTTCCAAGTCCAGCAAGGAAAAAGTTACCTGCGAGTCATTTTGCTAATTTTGATGTGCTGATTCCGAATCTGATATTTTTTTAAGGATTGGAGTTAGTTTTTTGATTAGTTTATGAACCAAATTTTTACTGTCAGTGGGCCACAGCATCCCGGTGGCTACAACAAAAACTGGGCACCAGCTGATGATAAAAATTTAGTAACATTTAACTTCTCTCCTCTCTCTTCAGAGCTTTCGAGAAATTCTACATTTTGAAGAATGTGCCTGCTATAGGCCAGCTCATCAGTGTTCTTCTTCAGATAGCTGAGTTTGAACGCTCCAAAGCCTCACAGTTTGCAGCCTTGTCCTGTATGAAGACACTGTATTTTTATGAGTCTGTTCAGTATGGGCCAACAAGTATGTATCTTAAAATATTGTCAACGTGACCTTAAAAGTACATGATGCTGACTACCTTTGGGGGTCTTACGGAGATATATTGATGGTTTTATCTTACGCTCTTACTGTGTGACGAGTTGGCTAAATAAAAACTTTTTGAGAGGCAAGAAAACCTCAACTGTTATAACTGATGAAATAAGAAACTAAATTTACCCCCACATTACTACTGCATTATCTGTAGTTCATGCTGACTCCTGATTTTTTATTGAGACGTCGCAGATGGGTCTCAGCTATGGTTTTTAGAACGAAAAAGAGCTGACCTGAATTTTCCAGTTCCATGGTTAGAGTTAGAGCACTATATAACATCACTGATATATCGATGTGCTATGCCACTATTAGAGTGTTGTAATCATGTGGGGAGAAGTTAGACTTCCAATTAAAAAAAAAAAGTTGTGAATTCGATTCCCGATGGAGAGTAGAGTAGGAGAACAGTTCAGTATATGCAAGCAGGAAATGCATGCTCTAAAATGTTGGAATGAAACGCACACAGATCTATTGCGAACCAGATTTTAATCGCGTGTCATTTGAATTAACGATTTTTGCAATCTTTAAAAAAATGTGCAAATTCAAGTTGTTTGTGAAATGTTAAAAGGGGCACTGCCGCCCCCCACCCATCCCCGCGCCCCTTTTCTCTCATTCTCTCTTGTCATCAATTTTGTTACTAAGTTCGTGTTTCCAGCACCATCTTCCTTGTGTCACTTTCAGAACCGAATTTAAAAAAATGATTATTACTCATAAGTGCACAATTCAAATTGACAACTCCAACTAATAGCACAATCGTTCCTGTGTTAGTGTTGAACACAGATCAGCCGTAAAATAACTCATTTGGCTTGTAACTGATGGAAGCAAAGCAAGCACCTCATTTTCTCCTTTATTACTTGAAATTGCGGCTGTGCCTGGGAGAAAAGATAGAGACAGGAGCCTAGAGAAGGGGAGGGGGGAAGGGGTGGGAGGGGACTGAAAGTGGAGATGAAAGCAGGTGACTGAACGTTGGTTAGAGAGCAGGAAAGGAGGTGAAAGGAAAACATTTAAGAGAAGAAAATTTTCCGTCACTGTCAGGGTTCCAGCTTGGGACCTATTGAATGAGATGCAAAGAGGCAAACACCTTAACCTGTAGACCACGAGAACCCCCTACACTTAGTCTAGATCACTCCCCTTTGAAATTCACTTTTAGAAATCATTAGCATAATAACCCACTTTTCTTGTCACCAGGGGTGCGTATTATTAGCTGGAGACCACTGTATTTCGAGGGAAGCTAAACGGCTGATTGAATGAAAGTTTGTAAATCCGTCTTAGTCCTCAGGGCCAGTCTTGTCTGTATCATAATGGAAAAACGTTAGTCCAAAACTTAAGAAATGTAGCACTTTTTCATCACTCGTTCTTCTGAAATGAACATATCAAGTAATGATTGTTCCTTTTAATTTGTTTTCAGATGAAATAGATGACTTCACGTGTTTAAAGAGTCTGACATTTTGCTTGCCTGCTGTTACCATGGCAGCCGCCCGTATTATTACGGGTGATTCTAAGCAAGGACATAAAGTGTTTGTGGTATGTACTCTTTCCAGTTGACATTAAATGCCGATAGTGACGCTCATTTGTTTCCTGTCTGGGCATGTAATGCCTTCCTGATGTCCATTTTCTTTTCTGGCTCCTTTAGGTGAAAAAAGTACCAATCTCTTTTGAATAGGAAGTCGAGATATTTACAATTGATGGTGGTGGTGTTTCAGAGGTAAAATTAGCGAGGAAAATGGCCGTCAAAGTTAGGTGACTTCCAATGCTTGAGACTTTTTGGAAACTGAAAATGTGCAATGTTTTAGCCTTTAATTAGCGTTTTTTAAAAGTAAAATCCATATGTAATTGTGTTTTTAAATGGACATAAAAGGCTTTGAGCCAAACCCCAAAAATTCGACCAAATTTTCCAAACCGTAAGAAAAATGCCAATTTCTTCGATTTCATTATTTTGACGAGCGCCTGATTTCACCACGCTGCCTCACATATTGCGCTTCTCTCCTCTCTTCACATATGTGCATTATCAAGACTGTCACAGAATTGTGTCCTCTTATATAGAACTTAAAGAACAGTGCTTACATGTGGCTAGTGGTTCCTATTTCTTTTGTATTCCTCAATAATAATCTTCATTTCATTTTATTTTGTATGTATATTAACTGAACCTTTGATAACCACTCTTGCATTACTATGCTTATCTTGCACTTGAAATGAGTCAAATCATGGGTTGTTTTCATATTTTTTAATAAGTTCGGATACTATTCTAATTAAATTTTAATTTTCTGTGAAAACTGTTGTGTTTCTTCAGGAAGCTGCACACCTTTGGACTATTGCGGTGTATCGCGCTATAGATAACAGAGTGTACCAGAATGCAGTCGACAAATCCGCCTCTCTTCAGAAGCAGAAAAAAGAAAAGAAAGGAGGTACGGTCAAATTTGCTGTAACGGCCTCCTGTCCAAGACAGTCAACTGTGCGAATGACCATTTCCCACTTTCTCTCTTTTCATTTAAAAAATCATAATTATATGACCCTTTCCAAGGTATCCACCTTTCTAAGACAACTACTTTTCTCCTCAACAGTGAGTGGTCATCTTGGACAATTTTGACTGCAGTTTCTTGATCGTCTCGCTCGCATTCCATGTGTCTACATATATATATTTACAAATATATATATGCAGTCAAACCTGTGTAAGACTGATCAAGATAAAGAAAACAAACCATTCCCATCTGAGGCCCCAATCGAAAGTAGCCCCATTATGTTGTCTTTGTTGGTGTTGTTGTTGTTGGTTTGTCTTTCGTATGTAATTTTTATTTTGTCGCTGATTTTGCACAAGGGTGACAATAAAACGAAACGTATCAGACAAGGAAGACTGAGTGCCATGTTAAAACAAACACATGGGTCGCCACCACTCGGAGAACGAGCGATGCTTCTGTAACATGTTCATGTTGACGTCCTTTGTTACTTTGTTACAGACTGGGTAAACAGTGACCACTCATCTCACTTACGATTTGTGTATGAGTTCTGGGCGGGGCTTATGGGTTATGAGGGATCACACGCTTACCTCACCAGCAGCTGAAAATTGGTAGCTATTGGTCAACACTGGGAGGGGCCTACGCAACGTGATCGGTTGGAGAGACTACCTAACAACAACGACAGGTGATTGAATTATGACAGCTCGCCCACAACGCCAGGGGCCAATGCAAATTTATGACAAAAACGTCATGGAGTCACTAAGGTTGCCGTCTAAGACAGGTATTATTCCTTAGTGTGATAGGGGTTGTGTGTTAAATTATGGTGGCCGCGGCCGTGTTGAACAGGTGCCCGTTTTACACAGTTAAATTATATAGAAAAAATGCAAGGGGGGGAATGGAAAGTGGCCGTTTGTACAGGTGGCCATCTTATAAGAGGTGGCCGTCAGGGCAGGTTTGACTGTATATATATAAAATATGTATGTATACGTCAGCATTTGTCTGAATGTTCACCTACTGTTGGGAGGCAGCGTGGTGAAATCAGGCGCTCGTCAAAATACTGAAAGTAAAGAAACTGACACTTTTCCGCTGGTTTGGCAATTTTTATTTAAATTTTTTTCTTTGACTCAACACCTTCTATGTACATTTAAGAACCCATTCCAGTTTGAATTATAATTTCAAACGTTGGTTAAAGGCACAAAAAATGTAAATTGTCAGTATCCAGGGACTCTGAATCTTTGTAAGTATCTACACTTTGGCGGCCATTTTCTCACTAATTTTACCTCTGAAACCAGGCGACTCCCACCTCATTCAATCGCAAATATCTCGACTTGTATTTAAGATAAATTGGTAATTCTTTCATCTAAAGCAAGGCGAATAAACAACCTTTAAAGCGATACCTATAACTCCACATGCCCAAAAATTGACTAGCGCCTGATTCCACCGCGTTGTAGCACGTATGTACACACTTTCTGCTTGAATGTGAAGAGCTGAGTCCCAGACATTGGTTTGTATGTCAGCTCCACCGTCTTCCACTGCTGCCCTCTATCTCCTTTTGTCTTTCTCTATGATTTTTATCGGCTTTTACTTTTCTTTTTCTCTGTCTGTCTGTCTGTCTGTCTGTCTGTCTGTCTGTCTGTCTGTCTGTCTCTGTCTCTGTCTCTGTCTCTCTCTGTCTCTCTCTGTCTCTCTCTCTCTCTCTCTCTCTCTCTCTCTCTCTCTCTCTCTCTCTCTCTATCTATCTATCTATCTATCTATTCTTTCCTTTCTTTTATGCTTGTTGGGTTGTTTTTTTTCTGTTTTCTTATATGTAGTCGAACTTTCTCTAATGGCCACTTTTTAAAAAATTTGCCATCACATCTCGCCGATCGGCAAGAACGCCGAACTTCAGCTCCCGTCACAAAACGCCGATTGGCGATGTTTACCTCCCAGTTTCTTCGGATTGCCCCCAAAATGCGTGTGATGGCAAGGGTTTTTACTATATGAGCCTTGTGATGGCAAAGTGTTAAGACAATCACCTGTACAAACGGCCACTTCCATTTCCCTTCTTGCGTTTTGTTTGAGAATTATAACAGTACTGTATCACACGCCCAGTTGTTAACCATGACAATGGGTGGCCGTGTTAAAATATTTCCACTTTTTATTTGATTTCTCTTTCTTTTCCTTTCATGTATCAAAGATCCCCTGGACAGCCTGACTGTTGTGGCAGATACTGCTTGGGTGGAGACGACGGCCGAGAAGCTGAAAGTATTGTTAGAAAAAATCTGCACTGCTCGGTCTCACTCCCACCACAAGGCACGGATGGCGCTAGTCTCACTTGGGTCTTGTGTGCTTATACACTGCAACAGGTAGGAATTTTTACGAGTGTGGGCTTGCGTTAATTTTTAAAAACTCAGGAAGGTGAAGTCTCTGGGGGAAAAAGAATTTTGAAATTTTGTGCGGTAATGTGATTCTTTTTTTCCTTCTCCTCCTCCTCCTCCTTTTCTTTTCTCAGACAAACTGTACCTGGGTGGTTAGAGGATGCTCTGGTATGGTTTGCTGCTTCTTTTTCATCAAATATCCGTCGTCCTTATCTCTCCACTTCGGGTTTTGTATGACTTATGTGGTTGCACATGCTGTAAGACTCATTAAAAACAAAGCAAACTGTATAACAAAATCACAAAAGTTGGACTATTCATTTTGTTCACGCTTGAGATCGTCACTTTTTGTCCTTTAGATCTTGAGATTGCGACTTTTGTCACTCAGATCTTGAGATTGTCGCTTTTGTCCCTTTGATCTTGATATTGTCCCTCAGATTTGAGATTGTCATTTTCATTCTTTAGATATTGAGATTGTCACTTTGCGTCCCTTAGATTTTGAGATTTTCGCTTTTGTCCCCCGATCTTGAGATTGTCACTTTTGTCCCTTTGATCTTAAGGTTGTGTTGTTTTCGTCCGTCAGCTCTTTGTCGGGCCTCGTGCCGTTGGCTGTGGACCTCCTGGTGGGTTACCTGGCAGACCCTCGACCTGAAGTCTCCCAGCGTGCCTCAGAAGTGCTGCGGACATTTGCCGCTGACGCTAATCAGAGCGGACACAAGCGTTTTCTGGTGGAGACCTTGCAGGAAAATCTGTACAACTTGTGCACCTCTCTGCCAAGGCAGATGCGCATGGCAGGTACTGAAGGGCGAGGAGTAAGAGAGGGATGACGATTAAGATCTGAGGTGGGGAGGAGTTAAGTGTGTGTGTGTGTGTGTGGTGTTTGTGTGTGTGTGAATGTGTGGATGGATGGAGGAGGGTGAGGAAGAATGGGTTAGCAGAGTGACAGGATGGGAGGTGATGGGAGTGTATAATAGGTTTATTGCAAATAAACGTTTTCAGTTATGAAAGAAGTCATAGAATATCTGTTTAATGAAAAGTCTTAAAAAAGGCCTTTTTAGTGTCTGATTTTTGTAATCCCCTCAAATGAAAGTATATCCTTTTGAAAGTCTAAGAACATTTCTTATTGAAATCTGAATAGTCACAGTAAAAACAGGAAGGCTTAGGAAGATGCGTACTTGTCTTTTTAACCAGCATTTTTGTTAACCTTACGCGACTTGAGCTGTTCTATTGTCTTTTGCAGACGAGGAAGAGAAACCTGCCATCATCAGACTGTTGAGAGGGTATTTGACTTTGCTGGGTGAGTACTTACTAAATGACAACATTACATTGACTGTGAGCTGTAAGTGACTGTCTGTTTTGGCCAAAATGTTTTAAAAAGTTGAGACGTTTAAGTGACATTCCATCACGTGTGTTAACAGGGTGCCTGCCAGGTTGTTGTTTTGTTGTTCCTGGCCTCTGTCCCTGCAGGTGGTTGGAGGGTGCCACAGGTAGATTCTACGTCTCCTCTTTCCCTCTACAAACTCTAAAACCAAGTCAGTGCTGATGGCTGTAGATCATGCGTTTTTTCTGTCTTTTGTTTTTGTCTGTCAGTTGCTCTTTCTTTTCTCTCAAACTCTTATTTTGTCGATGTGCTTGTCTTTACTCAAACAAAACAATTTTTAGCCATTCTATAAATAGCGTAATTGTGTCAGTATCAGTGTGCTTCTCTTTACTCAAAACATTTCTGGGCATGTGTTGAATAACGCTAAATACGCTTCTCTCTCTAAAATCAAACAAAACAGTCAAACTCCGAATGACCTTTATTGTGTCAATGTGCTTCTGTGTTCTTTAAAAAAAAAAAACACACAAAAAACCCCCCAAACAATTTTAAACCATGGGCTGATTGGTATTATGTGTACGAACCTCTCTTTACTTTAACTCTAACTCAAACTGAATCCCTCCAGGTACGGACGTGCGCACTGTGCTCCTGTCTCAGGCCCACCTCAAGCGTGTGTGTCTGGCCCTTGTCAATAGTCTGGAGCTGGACACGTCAGACATTCAGATCCTGGAGGAGCGCAACACTCTCTTACATCAAGGTAGTTTGGTCAAAGTAAGGTATAACTTGCCCCATCCCCACCCCACCCTCCCCTACTTCCTCGTGCAACACTATCTTACATCAGGGTAGTTTGCTCAAAGTAAGGCTTAACAAACCCCCACCCCCACCCCTCCTCCATGTCTTCGTGCAACACTCTCTTACATCAGGGTAGTTTGCTCAAAGTAAGGCTTAACAAACCCCCACCCCCACCCCTCCTCCATGTCTTCGTGCAACACTCTCTTACATCAGGGTAGTTTGCTCAAAGTAAGGCTTAACAAACCCCCA